TGTCAATGACAATTTCAATTGTTGTTGTATCCTAGTAGCAACTTTAGCACATCAAAGTTTTAAAATTTAATCTTAACGCTAAATGAGGCAGTTGCAAGAAATACACTAGACTGTTGAGCACTTGTCACTATTAATGTCGTTAATAAAAACTCAAAGTTAATTGGTGTTATCATCTTAGTAATCTTTTCTTTTTAGATAGAAGTTTTTGTTTTCAAGCAATAAGGTTCACTTTTCCTTAAGCTAAGGGCTAATGTTTATATTTTTTGTAAGAAACAGACTTGTAACTCATTGAGTTTCATGAACGTATACTAAGTTAGTTTATCATGCAAATAGATAAAAGGTTGGTATGAGTATTTGTTTTTTTACTTGTGAAAACAATTTCCAGGTGAATGAGTTACTTCCTTAACAAGTCACAATTTAATAGTCTAAATAACCAAGTTAATAATTGTCTTGAAGCAACAAGGGATTCTAATCCCTAGGGGCTCCCCAATTACTCTTATGAAGACCTAATCTAATTTGTTCTTAATTTTTATTTCTTTTCTTATAGTTTACCACCCACATGGTTGGTTTTACCATCTTATGGCCGGCGTTATTGTTATCAAGCTATATGGCTAGTGGAACCGCCTATCTAACTTCTAACTTTTATGGATGGTTATACCGCCTAACTAACTTTGTTAATTCTGACATTTGACTAGTTTAAATTGATAGCATGACATTACCATTTATTTAGATAATAGAGTTAGTTTTAAAAACCTTAGTAATTAATCAATTTCCTATAGGATTGACCCTAATTTTCACTATACTCGTTTGACCCGTATACTTGTAGAAAATCGAGGTAATTCGGTTTAATAGATTTGATAATTAGTAATTTATAACTTGAAAGTCTAAACCACGTCAAATTTTTGGCGTTGTCATTGTAGTATAGTGGTGAGTATCCCTGCCTATCATGCGAGAGACCTAGGTTCGATCTTTGGCAACGACACCAAAAATTTGACGTGGTTTAGACTTTCAAATTATAAGTTCCTAATTATCAAATCTATTAAACCCAATTATCTCGATTTTTTGCAAGTATATGGGTCAAACAAATATAGTGATAATTAAGGTCGATCCCATAAGGAATTGGTTAATTAATAAGACCTTTAAAACTAACTCTATTTTCCAAACGAATGGTAATGTCAAATGGCAAAATCAATGAAGTTAGTTAGGCGGTATAACTATCCATAAAAGTTAAAAGTTAGATAGGCGATTCAACCAGCCATACAGCTTAATAAATATAACACCAACTATGAGGTGATAAAACTAACCATGTAGGTGGCAAATTGTAAGAATGGAAATAAAAGTAAAGAACAATTTAGATTAGGGTTTTGTAAGAATAGTGAGGAAGTCCTAGGTATTAGCATCCCTTGTTGCTTCAGGACAATGATTAACTTGGTTGTTTAGACCATAAATTGTGACTTGTTAAGGAAGTAACTCCCTTATTCACTTGGATATTGTTTTCACAAATATACAAGAATACTCATATCAAGCCCTTATCTATTTGCATGATAAACTAACTTAGCATAAGTTCATGAAATTCAATGAGTTATAGGCTTGTTTCCATCTAAATCCACTTCTACTAACGTGAAAATGTAATATAGAGTTCAAATACTTTGAACAACACATGCAAGGCAAGCTTAAGTGCACAAACACATGCTTGAATGATTATAGTTGGTGATCAATTTAACTACAAGTATGAGATGCAAATATATGAACTAACAAGTTCACAAATGACCAAAAATCAACTTAAGTTATCACATAGTCAAGAAACTACAAGTTTATCTCTTCCCTAGTATGTGAGAGTTTAGCTAAGCATGGAGTTGAAACTCATAAAACTCTTGAAATGAAACATGAAATAAACAAGAAAGTAAAGAGTAAAGGTTGATGAATTTTATTCAATTGAATGAAAAAAGAACTTCAAGTTTCATTTTTACACCCTTGATCTTCAATTTCACAACAACATAGTTGTTTTTCTACAAAGAAAAGCTCACCTTTTACTCTCACAACTTTATGTTCTATTTTCAAAGCTACAACTATTTAGTTCTCTCTATCCTTCTCTCCTTTTCTAATCATTGAGATATAAGGGGTATTTATAAATGTTTTTGAAAGAGAAAATGTTCTCAAAATGTGGTCATAAAGTTGTCCTTAACTTTTCCAAGACAAGTCTTGGTAGTTCTAGCCTTTTTTTTTTTACTGAAAAATTGGTCAAAAAACTTTTGTGAAATGTCCACAACTTGCTCTTGCAAGTTGCAGTAGGTTTATTCTTTACAAGAAAAGGATGCTTTGTGCGTCCGACGGCTGCTAGGGTTGCGTCTACATGGGTGCTTCGTTCATGGCTGGCCAATTGGCCCTCCAGCACAGTGCTGGAGGGCTTCCATCGTCTTCCACCAAATCGTTTGTTGAAATTGTGTCCCAGCTTCCACCTCCAGTGACGCGCGATGTTCCTGGTGTTCTTCCACTTTCGCCATCCGTTGATGTAGTGAAGGAGCCCTCATCCTTCAAGGGTAAGCCAGCTGTCTTCTTCTCCGATGAAGATGTCGCGGCTCTCTCAGTACCTTTCAAACTTACATTGGTTGGCAAGTTCTCCAAGGGCAGGCCATGCATGGAGGAGCTACGAAAGATGTTCCAGTTTGTGGGGTTCAAGGGCGTGTACTATCTTGGGTTGCTTGACCCTAGGCATGTATTGATCAGATTTACTTTGGAAGAGGACTATTTGCGATGCTAGCTTCATGGAGTTTGGAACTTCCAGGGCTGGGTTGTGCGTATCTTTAAGTGGTCTCCCGCTTTCTCGGTATCTTCGAAGTCTCCCATAGCACCAGTATAGGTGTCTCTTCCTGGTCTCGCAGTTCACTATTTTGCCAAAGGGTCCTTGTTTTCGATTGCACGTTTGATTGGGGAACCGCTCAAGGTGGATTCTTCCATGGTTACGTTGGTGAGGCCGAGCGTGGCCCGAGTTTGCATGGAGGTTAATCTTCAGCAAGAACTTCCAGAAAAGCTTTGGATCGGTAATGGGTCTGTGAGGAGGTTTTGGCAACAGGTGGAGTATGAGAACCTCCTTGACTTCTGTGCCGACTACTACAAGGATGGTCACAGGGCTCAAGTGTGTTGTATAGGGATGGGAAGAGAGGTGAGAGGCAGGTCGACGGCAGAGGATCAGCGCCAAGCATGGGCTCCTAAGGCGCCTGTAGTTGCTCCAGTGGGGGATGCAGCGGGGCGTGGGAAGTTGTTGGGGACTGGTCTGCAGGAGGACGAGAGGGGTGCACATCATCTTTGAGGGGAATCCACCGTGATGGAATTGCTGGAGGGGGAGACGGAGCAAGGAACGTGTCGCGAACTACAGGACGCTCCACCAAAGAATGTTGCGCTGCTGGATGCGAGGCAGGTTGATGCCTCTGCCACGGTGGTGGTGTCCATTGAGGAGCCTAAGGATGCGGGCAAGGAGTTGAGGTCCCTACCTACTGAGGCAGTGCAGCCCGAGGACCTGGACCTGCAATCTTCATTGGGTGCTGCTCAGGAAAGCAGCTTGGTCAAAGCCGCGATTCTACTTGGCTGTGTGGAGGTGCGGCCAGTTGATGCAGTGGTCTTGGAAGGGTCTCCAGGCCTGACTGGAGCGGAGAATCGGCATGGGCAATTTGTGGTGGTGCCGGCAACGGGGAATCTTTCCCCTCGGGGCACAGTACTAAGAGAGGAGGTATGGGAAGGTAAGGATGGGCTCGCTGCTGAACAGCTCCGCCAGGTCACTGACGACTCCTTCAGGGCAGTCACGGGCAAATCCAAGGGCGTGCGCGCGAAGTTTCCGTGAGATAGGGAGCTTCGTTCCACGGTAAGGGCTTCGCAAAATTCTATCCAGCCTTTATCCCATGATTAATGCATTATTTTGGAACATTAGGGGTATGGCTAAGGCCTCCCATTTTCGGAGATTGCGTAAATTAGTAGTGTCTCATAATATTCAATTGCTGGTAGTATGTGAAACGCATGTTCGTATGTCGTTGGCAGAGGAGTTTCGGACTAGATTAAAATTTGATTTTGCAGTCTCTCATTCTGAGGGTTTGTTGTGGGTTTTCTATAATGCTCCTTTTAGTTGCTCAATTGTGGGAGAGGGGGGGTCAGTTTTTGTCTCTGTCTATTCTCCACCCGTACTTGGGGAGCTCGATTTCTTTCTCGGCTGTTCACGCTGCTACTACTGCGGAGGAAAGGAAAGATCTTTGGGTTGGCTTGCTTGAATGTCAACCGTCCCACGGACCTTGGATGGTATGTGGGGATTTTAATGTCGTCGTGGGGGAAGAAGAGAAGAGAGGGGGAAGGCCGTTTACGGTTGCTGAAGCTACTGACTTTGGGGCCTTCATGAGTGCAGCAGGTTTGGTGGACGGCAGGTTCTCAGGCTCTAACTTTACCTGGTGCAATAATCGCCATGGCCATGCCAGGATTTGGAAACGGCTAGACCGCTTATTGCTGAATGTGGAGTGTTTTGATGCTAGACTTTTGCTTGGTGTTGCTCACCTGGAGCGTTATCCTTCCGACCATGTGCCATTGTTAATCTCCACTGCTACCAGAATGGATGGTAAGCCCCATCCTTTCCATTTCATCAATGCCTGGGCTGATCATAAGGAGTTTTTGGGAGTGGTGAAAGAGTCATGGCAGCAGGAGTGTGATAGGTCCCCAATGCATGTTCTTTGTTCCAAGCTGTAGCGGCTCAAGTGTCAACTTCAACGGTGGAACAAGAACCGTGTGGGGAACTTTTCAGACAGTGTTAAGAAGGTGGAAGAGGAGTTGGGAGGCTAGAAAAGTGTTTGGAGGAGGGAGGGTTTGAGGTTGTGCATTTGCATTTGCAACTAGCCCAGGCTACGCCGAGACGGGCATTGGCCATACAGGAGTCACTGTGGAGACAAAGATCTCGGGTAAAATGGCTGGCCTTGAGAGATCGTAACACTAAGTTTTTCCACTCAGTGGTAAAACAACGATGCATGCAATTGGTAATTCATCAGATACAAAAGTCTGATGGTGAATGGGTGTCTGAGGATGAGCTCATTGGCGCGGAGGCGGTTCGGTATTTCTCTGCCTTATTCTCGTCAGCGGATGGCCCTGGTATGCTAGATGTCCCCGCTGTCATCCCTCGGTTGGTGTCAGGGGAGGACAATGAGATGTTGGAGGTAGTTCCGTTCTTAGAGGAGGTGCGGCAGACTGTATGTGAAATGGATGCTAGTAGTGCAGCAGGGCCTGACAGGTTCACTGGTGGATTCTTCTCCGCTGCCTAGGAGATAGTGGGTGGTGATGTGCATAAGGCAGTACAAAGTTTCTTCTATGGTGCCGAGCTCTCAAGGAGAATTACAGCGACTTCCATTGTTTTGATCCCCAAGGTTCAGCAGCCAAAGGATTTCTCCCAGTATCATCCTATCAGTTTATGCAACTTTGTGAACAAGATTTTCTCCAAGATCCTGACTCGCCGGTTAGCTCCTATCCTGCCTAAGATTATTTTGATGAACCAGAGTGGGTTTGTTCGGGGTCGGTGGATATCAGACAACTACCTACTCGCCCAAGAGATAATTGCGGGTATCAAGAGGAAGGCGCGCGGGGGGAATGTCGTATTCAAACTTGATATGTCAAAGGCATACGACTGGATGATGTGGCCTTTGTTGATACAGGTCCTGCGCGTATTTGGGTTCGGAGAACGCTGGATAGATATGATCTGGAGGGTTATCTCTAATGTGTGGTTCTCCGTCATAATAAATGGGTCGCTTTGTGGGTTTTTAAGTCATCTAGGGGGCTTCGGCAAGGGGACCCTTTGTCTCCTGCTCTATTTATTATCGAGGTGGAGGTGCTATCTCGTTCTCTTAAACAATTGGTGGCTCATTGTGGGTTTCAGGGCGTCTGGGTTCCAAGATGTTGCCAGACTATTACGCACTTGGGTTATCCGGATGACGTGCTGAGTTTCTCCGGCGCTAATACGACCTCTCTCAAGTTGGTGATGAAGGTACTAGAGGATTATGAGGTAGTCCCTGGCCAGTTGATCAATAAACAAAAAAGTTATTTTTTGGTACATGCGGCCTTGGGAAGACCACGGAGGTTGAAAATCCAGCAGGTTACAGGATTCTCTTCTAGACCTTTCCCATCAAATATCTAGGGCACCCCCTCTTCTACGGGCGGCGAAAGTGAGAGTACTTTGCTGGGCTCTGCCAAACAGTAGTGAGTAGAGTGAAGTCCTGGAGAAACAGGTTGTTGTCTTTTAGGGGTAGGATGGTGCTGTTGAAGCACGTCCTCGTCGCTTTACCAGTATATCTGTTAATTGCTGCTTCTCCTCCGAAATCCGTTCTTAAAGAGCTTGAAAGGCGCTTCTCCAATTTCTCTGGGGTGAAGCTGAGGGGGATCAGAAGCTTCATTGGATTAGGTGGGGAGACCTATGCCTTCCAGGTGATGAGGGAGGGCTGGGATTCCGGCACTTGGAGGATATTTACGATGCTTTCTCCATCAAGTTATGGTGGAGATTCCGCTCTCTGTCATCTCTTTTGGCAATTTTCATGAAAGCTAAGTTTTGTACGGAGGTGCATCCTAATCTGGTGCATCGCGATGGGGGCTCACAGACTTGGAGAAGGATGATAGTGGTGTGGCATATTGTGGAGTAGCATATTGGTTGGATTGGGCGCTCTAATAGCTCGAACTTTTGGTTTGATAATTGGTTAGGAAATGGGACACTGGTGTCGAGACTGGACAGTGTCTCGGATCATCTAGTGGCTGATTTTGTTAACAATGGCACTTGGGACGTTCAGCTTATACGGCAATGGGTGCCGCCAGGGATCGCCCGCGAGATTGCTCAAGTTGATCCGCCGATGGGCCAGCTTCCTGATCTGATGGTATGGAGACCTTCACAGTCTGGACAGTTCACCCTATAGTCTGCGTTTAACCTAGTACGGTGGCATAGCAATAGATCCTTCATGTCTCAACGGCTATGGCATCCGATGTTACCCTTAAAAATCTCTTTCTTCTTAGTACGTTTACTACGCAGGCGGCTTCCGGTGGATTGCTGTATGTGGAAGTTTGGGTTTCAGGGGCCCTCCAAGTATGGATGTTGTCAACCCTCGGCGGTAGAAATGGTAGACCATGTGTTTGCTGGGATTGATGTGGCGTCACGGGTTTGGCACTTCTTCGGAGATACAGTAGGTGTATCTTCGAGGGGGTTGTCGTTTCGCGTATGCATGGCAGCATGGTGGTATGGTAAAAGGGGTAATAGGTATCCGGAGTTTGTTCATCATGTTCTTTCGCTTCAGATCTGTTGGCACCTGTGGAAAGGCAGGAATGCCAGGAAGTACGATGGGACCCATATACAGGAGGATAGGTTATGCAGGTTGGTCTTCACCGATCTCCTGGAATTGTTTGCTTTATTCTTCCCAAGCTGCAGGGTCTTCCCAGTGACTTGGGGACATTTTTATACAAAGATTTTTGGGTAGGCTCCGCGTTCCTCCTTTAAGCCTGTGAGGTGGGTTCGGCCTCTTCCTGGTGACTTCAAACTTAATACAGACGGGTGTTCCAAGGGCAATCCAGGTATTAGTGGTAGTGGAGGGATCCTTCGGGATGGCGGCGGCAGATTCTGTTTGGCTTTCTCATGCCATTTTGGGAAGCCAACCAGTTTACAGGCCGAAGCGCGAGCCTTTCTTGTTGGGGTAGAAATGTGCGTCCAGGGAGGGTTTGACCTCTTCAAAGTTGAACTAGATTCGCTCGTGTTAGTTAACATTCTACTTGGAAAGGTTGGCTGTCCATGGAGTATCTATAAGGAGGGGCAACAGTTGTTGGATTTGAAAGAGCGGTTTCCACAGGTCTCCCATTGTTTCCACCAAGCGAACCAGGTTGCTGATGTCCTTTCGAATGTAGGGTGCTCGCATGAGGGGAAGGTGGTTTACACGTCTACCTCGTCGTTACCTTCGATTGCTAGAGGCCCCATGTGCCTAGATAGGTTAGGGGTTCCATCAATTAAGAGGTTCCTGCAGGACTAGTGGCCTCTTCATTTGTTTCCCCAATGTTATGTGATAATAATTTTTGGTTTGAAAAAAAAAAAGTTGTAGTAGGTTTGCACTGTTTTGCTCAATCTTCAATATTGTTCTATTTTTGGACCAAATTCAATTGCAATTTCCTCAACGATAGAAGCCGAATTAGCTCTTTCACAAACCGTAAAAATTGTAGTCCTTTGAGTTATCTCTCGAATGCATCAAGAATCATTTCATTTGGATGTCTATGGGCAAAAAAATGACCAAAACACCCCTAACTATTCAATCCCCTATTTCACCTTTTGAAAGCAAAAATGCATGATGGTATATCGACCTTTTGGCCAGGAAAATGCATGAACTGGATTTTGATATCTTCATGAGAATAGTGAATCTATGTATTAGCTTCATCATGGTTTAACAATTATCTCAATCTAATACTTGTAACTCAAGATATAGTCAAAATACCAAAAGATATCAAAACTATCAAACTTTTCTTTTTTTTGTACTTTGTTGCATCTCATTCTATGAACATTTTACACTTCATGTTCACTTTAAATCACTTAAATCACCAATAATAATCCAAATATATTTTCAATTCACTCCATTTGATGATTAAGCCGTTAGATCTACAAAAATATGAAATTTCTACCACTTTAATTCATAGAAATGCAATTTTTCACAATTGAACCATAAAATGCAAATTTCACTAGAAACCTAGTTATTTAGCTATACAAATGACTAAACACACCAAAACATAAATAATAAATCACACTTAAAACATGCAAAATTAACATGTATCAATATGCTTACACACAACCAAGGTTAATTGTCAAAATCATTAGTCCAACTTATTTGTGCTTGTTAATCATCAAAATCAAGGATTGATCAACTTAAATCTTCAAACCCGATGAGATTTTTGCCTTGTACCCAAAATTTATTTCCCAACATTAGGACCTCTTTTTCAACATGCATGAGATTTCTAAGCACCACATCGCATTTGAACTTGTTTTTAAATTTATGACGGTGTTATATTAAAACTATATTATCTAATTATAAGTACAAATGTAGTACGGAATATAGTTTTACGTCATTTTGTGTAAGAGTTGATATTTGAAATTCTTTTATCTTGGGGAAAATTGCAGAAACCTCCCCTGAGGTTTCTGACACTAGCATTCACCTCTCCTGAGGTTTAAGAAATAGCATGCAGCACCCTTGAACTTAATGAATATGTTGCAGATTCAGTCCAGGCAAGAAAATGTCCCATTAAAAAATGATTTTATGGAGTGAGATGAAAATTTTGTATCAAATTTGCCCTTGATCTTGCTTGGCAAGTAGTATTAACAAGTGAAGGACAAAGGTATTAAGGATCGAGAAAGTTTAGGGGGTGTAAGCGCAAACCATTTCCAAGCAACCTGCAATAGCTTCTTCACTTAAGGAAACTAACGGCTAGTTAACGGCTAAATGGCTAGGTTCTTGCACCAGCATGAAACTCTATATTAGGAAAAAATGAGTTGTTCGTTTTCAACATAAAACATAGCTAGTTTGATTAACTTCAATTTGGCAGCTTGAGGTGAAATATTGCAGCAAAGAGTATGGCTGCTTCCAACCGCAAGGAAGCATCATGGAACTCCCCAACATCCTTCCAATAAGGAACAAATATTGCACCTGCAATCGAAAGGCAACATTAAAGATCTCTGAGACTAAAAAGAACCCTAACAAGTTATATTTTTGTTGTGCCAAATGCAAGTAATTCCGGTGTTATGAAGGTCCTAAAGAAGAAAATGTCAGCAATAGAAGAACTGACACCAATTCAGTTCTGCAATCTGAACAACAGCTGCAAAGGTCAACGGCAATGCAAAAGGAAAAGCCAATTCTAGTGGCAAGAGCAGGGGCTCTAAATGTAGCAGTCAACATACTTTTTATCATCAATCTCATATTTGTTGCTGTGTATGTTTTCATCCATATTGTGATGATGTGCCGGTTCAAATATACATATCTAAATATAAGATGTAGTTGTAGAAAAAATTGGTGTTGTAAGATATATGAGAGGAAAAGTAGAACATCATGTATGCAGCATCATTTCTAGTTTACATTATAATGCAACCAATTAAGTTTAAGTATACTGTCATCAATACAAAATCTAGTTCATCTACCAATACTTGCAAAAAAGATATGAAAAGCAGTTGCATTACAAGACTAATCCATTAATACAAAAGTGCATCAGAAAAATTCATTACTACAAAAGAGTATCAGAACAATCCATTAATACAAAAGCATGACTGCGCAATCCATTAGTTTCAAAACACCATCTGCTGCAATGACTGACAACAAATGATGAGGATTGCAAAGACCTATCAGTTCAAATGTCATCACTGCAATAGTCATACAAAACATTCGTATATAGTGACCTAAATGCAAGGCATATTACTAAGTTGAAACTGAAGCAGTAAGCAGAAAACTACAGAGTATGCATTAGAATTGCATACTAAAACTATTACTGCTGCTGACATTTGTTGACTGCAGTGTTGTAGCTACATTAATTGACAAAGATGCAGCTATAGCAACTTGAGATGCTGCAATTTGCTAAACTGGAGGAGGTTCCAGAGTTTGAGTGACCTGAGTAGTTGTATTTGAGTTAGTTCTCTTGCTCTCCCTCTAGTAGTTGTTCCAGTATTGCACAATGGCCTTCCTGTCTACACAATCACAGAGATCGAACCTTATATTCAAGCATTATACTGAAACATGTATAAAATGCAGTCATTTGAATGAATCTTTTTCTTTGAAGCAGTTGTTGTGATCTGAATCTGCTGTTGTACATTCACAGTTGCAGGTTGACTTGGAGGAGAATGATTGCTTCTTTGGCTTGAGTGTACAACAGGCACATTGCCTTGCACATGATCCTAGCAGTAAACATAGACAAGTAACTTTAGATATTAGAAGGTTTTAAATGCTACAATCCTGATAATAAATCAAAAAAAATTTTACCCAAAGAGTAGCTCTTGACAGGCCAGTGTTTGCAGTCCTTCTTCCTGGTTTGCCTCTTCTATTGCTCAACTGTTAGGGAATAAGCTAACATTAGTGCATTTTATTTATTTTCAGTATTATTTTCAATAGCAAGTTGAGCACATATAAGACCTGTTGGCCAGGAGTTGTGCTGCCATTCTTCTTCTAGACGGTGCTCTTTGGCAAGACCTCTTATTGTGACCAAATGAGCCACAGTTTCCATACTTGAATCCGCTCGACCTTTTTGATTGTGATATAGATTGTCCTTTATCATGTTCTTTTCTCCTGTTCACCTTTGGTCTACCTGGAGCTCTCCTCAAAGGAGGTGGCAACATGTGGCATAGATAACATGTGGAGTCTTGAGAAGTCTTGAGCTCTCCTCAAGACTGTTGAAGAGGTAACATGTGGGATAGGTGGCCACATCTTCTTATCAGGAATTGGATGAATCATACTTGCTGTGACGACCCCACTTCTCCGTAGGGCGAACCCTCTGCCTAGCTCTCGCTAGGGCTCAATACGAGTCAAATTTAAACTTAAAAGTAAACAACCAATAATAAAAGTAAATATAAAGAAAAGTCGCTTTCTTATATAATCATTCAAGTCTTACATCACAAAGTTTCCAAAAGGTACATCAATTTTTCCAAAATACAACCATTCAAATTTGATTAAACCATTTACATACAAATTCTAATCAAAAGGTAATCAAGTCAGTTTCTCCAAAATCTTTTCATTCCGAACTCCTATTAAGGAAAACAAACTACGAGGGTGAGCTAACGCTCAGCGAGACCAAGAAAAACATGCAAAAAAATAAGTTCAAGTAACAGTAACACTTGTACAAGAAATATAGTTAGAAAATTCATGTAATTCACAAATAACAATAAAGCACAATCAATAAGGATATGGGAGCTCTCAGGAGCTAAATTCCCATTTGCTTTGCCAAGACTTGATCCAATACCTCCACGTGATGGCACTCTGTCAACCGGGTAGGTAGCAAGTCCGTAGAAACCCCGCTTACTTCCTCTATCCCCCATTTCACCCTCTCAAATTCATAACCAAACACTCACTAGAAGGGAAATACTACTCGAGTATGCCAAGTAAGACCTCAAAAGATCAAGCTTATAATTTTCTCATGGTTCACCAGGCTTCTCGACCAAGCCCATGCTGACTCAAGTTGCAAGGTTAGCCAATGAGTTTTGGGCATCTCCAAATGCACAAATACAATTTGCCAAGTTAACGCAATTCAATTATCAAGTCACGTTCACACAAGTCGATTGTCTAGTCAGGTAAAAGAGAACGAATGCGATAAAGTACACACTCGTCTCGACAAATCCAAATCACTTAATTAACAAGAAACAATTCAAGTATTTAGCAACAAGTCATGCATTTGACACTCACCAATTCAAAAGAAAGCGAGCAAATAAAGTCCTTCAATTGTCCGTATCGAAATCCCCTTCGAAACCACCCTGAGCACTTGAAGAAATAGTGACCAACCATCACTCACATATACTCTAGACCACTTAACATTCAAGGAAGGAAATTGTGACGCTCCCACTTCTCCCAAGGGCAAATCCAAGGGTATCGGCGGGACGCCTACCCAACTCTCGCCAGGACTCGGTACAATCCATAATTCACTCACATATAATCTAGACCACTTAACATTCAAGGAAGGAAATTGTGATGCTCCCACTTCTCCCAAGGGCAAATCCAAGGGTATCGGCGGGAAGCCTACCCAACTCTCGCCAGGACTCGGTACAATCCATAATTCAAAACTAGGAATACTTCAAATAACTTCAATATATATATTTAAAGTACTCCAAAACACTTCATACATATAATTAGTTAGCTCTCAAGCTTAATATAATCCAAAAGAATATTTACTACAGCCATCTGCTGTAATACAACTTAAAATTTTTCCAAAAAAGAAAACAATCTAGCACTATTCACGAGCACTTTTGGTCTCGAACCCTGTTAAGGAAAACAAAAACATGGAATGAGCTACACACCCT